CCAGCTTTTCTGTTAAGTCGAGATGATGATTCGTTGACAATCGGTATGCATCATGATAGTCAGAATGGTGCTAGTAGTGCCAGGCTTAAACTTCAACGGTATATTTTTTCAAATTTTTTAAATTAATAACCTATCACAGTTTTTTGGACTTAGAAGAATTTCATTTCAATAAAATGCTGCGAAATATCATTTCAGTAAATGTTGATGTATATTCATATATCAGCATTTTTTTCCTTATTCATAACATTTGAATAATTTTTCAATGGTTTTTTAATCATAAATGTAAAATATGCTCGCATCAAAAATCTATACAGTTTTCTGCTAAAAAAAAAAAAAAAAAAATGCATAAAAATGAGCGAAAATATGCGCCGAGAAATTTTATTGTCATTATTTAGCAATTATAATCGATGTTTAAAATCATACGTTGTGACAAATTATGCATTTTGTACCACTAATTAGAGTAATTTAAATATCCCAGTTCTTTTTCTTTTTTTTTTTTTCAGATTTGGACCGAAACCATCTCGACCAAGTGCATCGCAACCAGTCACAACATCATTCAAATTAGGTAATCCAGGCGCAATTCAGCAAATGTTTCAATTTTTTGGTTTATGTAAGAACCATGAATTATAGAATGAAAAAGAAATAACAAAAAAACATATTGGAAATGATTGCAGACAGTTTTGCTAGACAAAAAAAAAACATTTTTCAACTTAAATTTTAGCAAGTTTATTGTTTGATATGAAACACTTCCATTTACTTTCTCTCATTTGTTCACGTTTGTTTTTTTGATTATAAAGAAAGATTTGTCATTCTTCGATGTTGTAAATTTTATCGAAGCCATAAACTATCTCATTTCCGTACGGGCTTAACAGAATTTTCATTTCATTAAATATTATTGAATGGTAATACTTCTTAGCTAGATATATATGCTTTTCAGAGTAATTTAGACTAATTCTTTGGTCGTTTTTTTTTGTTTTTTTTTTTTGTATGTAATAAAAATCGTTTTGTTTTATACAGTCAGATTGAAAGTTATTATTCAAGAAGTTTAACTTTTGAGTGCTACTGATTCAAAAATGTATCAAAGATAGCCTTGTTCGAGATAAAGCTACGAGAATAGGAATCTGTACAAATCTGGCATTTGTGTTATTTCAATATTTTTGTTTGTGCAAAACAATAATAGCTCAACTCATCCTTCATTGGATTTACAAATTTTTGTGGGATTCTTAATAATTATTAATTCCAATCTAAATTTTAATGAGTCTCCTCCAATCTTTGAAAATTTCAATTTTTATGGTTATCCATGTCTTTCCGCCCCTCTTCAACATATTGATTCTATTCCGTGCTTAGATATTTTATATTCTGAATCTGACAGCAGTACAGTTGTGAATTCTTTTTGTCATACAAAATTTTGATAAATTTCATTTTAAATCATATTTTAAACATACATCAGCAAAAAAATCAAATATGAAATATGTTTTTATTTTCATATTATCTATCTATTGCAGAGAATTTCTTGTAGGATATAGAAGCAAGTTTATTTGATCGAAACCTTCACAACGTTCTCTTCTCAAGAACAGAAAACAACTCAATCAGTTGATTCATTGATCTTTAATTCTTTTTTTGAAGAAAAGTTTTTTTCTTGAAGAATTCACTGACCTTTTGATAAGTTATTTCTTGAAGAGAAAAGTAAGCTTTTGTAACGGTGAAATTCAATGTTTAATCTCTATAATTCAAAAGATTTCACTGTCAACATGACTCATCAACTGCAACTTGAAGCGCGACAAATGTGAACTTGAAATGTTATAGTTCGAATTACTTTTAACAAAATACCATTTGGCATCTGTCAAAAGTGCTTATGCTTTCCCTATCAATTCTTATCAATGAATCAATTGTCTGAATAGCATTTACAGAAGGATCAAAGTGGTATTTCAGCTTTTACATGTTTAGCTATGCTCAATAAGCGCGTAATCTATCATAATCAGAAAAACCATTAAAAAAACCAAAAAATCAAAAAAAAACCAAAAAATCAAAAAAACAAAAAAATCAAAAAACCAAAAAATCAAAAAAACCAAAAAATCAAAAA